CCTTTGATGTCGACCGCGGAGCGTCCAGACTACCAAGCTGAGCCGACAAACAGCTGATCAGCTCAGCGCGGCAGCCATTTAAATTTAAATGAAGCGGCAATTATTTAAATCGCCGCTTCATTTTCCTATGCCTCTGTCGCCAGAGGTAAGTAGTCTAGACATACCCTGAGAGTTGTGCGCTCTCTCTACATCCAATCAAAGCGCTGCTACAGTTCAGTCAGCACAACCTGCAAATTCTAGGTATACAAGCAGTTAACAAAACTACCCTATCCCGGGATCAAATGCTTCCACTATTTGATCTGAGGAAGTGGGTCTGGCCCACAAAAGCTCATCATCTAATAAACCATCTTGTTAGTCTTTAAAGTGCTACATTGTCCTGCATTTTGCTTCAACTATCCCGGGAGACTGTGATTCTGTTACAATTGCAGATATGACATTGGGGCATTAGCAAGATAGTATATTTTTGATAATTACCAAACTAAAACAAATTTTGGGCATATGAGAAAAGTTCTTTATCTCTTAAATATGAAGATATTCAATTTAAACTTTAACTTTTATTTCTTGAGAAATACCAATAATCCATTTTTTGTGAAGACATTTTAGTTCTCTCTCCAAGACGAATGTCTAGAATTGGTCAAAAACCACATTTAAAATATTCTTGAAAATTGTGATTAGCTTTTTCTAAAAAAAAACAGAATTTTAATTGAATTGTTTTTACCTGTTCAATGAATGACCACTTGTAAAATGGTTCATTTGGATTACATCATAAATGTACACAGCAATGAACACTGCACTACTTGAATGCCTCCCTCACAGCCTGCCACCCCGACCCAGGCCCTTCGCACTCCCCCCACACCCGCACAATCTCAGGCCCTCCCTTGGACCCCATCACAATGCCCGAGCCGCATTCCCGCTCAGGCCCAGTGCACGGTGCGGAGGCAGCTCCAGGGCAGCCGTGGACAAGGCCACTCTCCGCTGGGCACTGGCCACCTCCGGCACCAAGCAAGTGCGAGCCTGAGCCAGCACGACCTCAAAAGGCACATACCTGGGGAAGGGGCGGCACACGAGCCCACAACAGACAATCATGGTGCGCACCATTCCACAGAGTCTGCTTGCCCCTCCCTCCCCCCGCCAGCCAGTAGCAATGAGGCAGATAGCCTGGGAAGTGGCTCAAGGCGCCGCGGGCTGCATGCAAAAGAGCCATGGGCAGCATGTGGCCCATGGACCTCATGTTGAGTCCTGCAGTATTGTGTTCTAGCCACTATACAGCAGTGCTATAAAAAGAAACCAGAACACACATTGGGGGTGGAGGAGAGAAATTAAAGAAATATTAAACTTACCTTAAAAAATGCAAACCATTTGTAATCATTTATTACAACTTCAAAGCCTTGGTTGTAAATTATGGTGAAGAAGCCATAATTGCCCAGATCATCTTGAGCTACAGCCAGCTTTTGAAGAGTCACCTTTACTTTTTTTTCCACAGGTCCTGCAGAAATGAGACAGTTA